GCTCTCCACTGCACTTACATTTAAGATTATGTGTGTCTATCTCTCCACGCAGACTGTCAGCTTCTCAAGGACTGGAGAATGTCTTATTGCTTTTTGAACCTCAAGGACCTAGCGTGATGACTGACTGACACAGAGGAAGCACTTGGTAAACACGAAGTGAATATGATTTTGCACACATTCAAAAAATTAGGTTTGCCGATAACAAGTATAAAAGTTCAATTAGATGTTTAAACACTGAGAAAGAGCTCAATTGAGTCAAAAGAACTCCACGCCTGACTTTAATTTTACTCTGTTGAGGAAATCTCTATGTTCCGTAGGCATCTTCTCAGGTATTACTTTTTTTGATAAGTGTCATTAAGAAACTTGGTACACTAATAAAAATATTCCCATTGCACCCTTACCCAAGCTCATCATCATTCAGAATTTTCACCACCAAACTTCCAAATAGGTAGAATAAAGCTGCTGAAGTCCACACACAGCACTCCCAGGAGTCAACTCCACTCACCCTCCTACCGCAGAGCAATCACGAAGCCCAGTGGGCAGCCAGTGAACTTGGCTCCCACAGACGTCACCACCTGTTTTTCTATCCTAATAAATAAAGTACCTCTGCTCTATCAATTCATATTGCTCATGGAACTGAGACCTAGAATGAAAATGGAGACAGAATTTTTGTCCAATTTTAATGGCTTTTAAAAAAATTTCTTAGGTAGCTAGTTTATACCACAAGAATCAATGAGCTGCATAACAGTCTGGATTTGATCTGGTTCAAATAATGCTACCATGTCCTAAAATCCTGGGCATTATACACTTTCCAAATGTACGATGTCACCAAGGTTTTATGACATTTCCTACAAAAACTCAAGAGTCAGGTAGCACTTCATCAGTTGAAGTTTGAATTCAGGTACAGGAACAGAATGCTATAGGTACAGCATGAAACGGTACTACACTTCTGACTTTGGCATTATAGCCACAAGGGAATATTCCACTAAATGCTTTTCATACATGCACATTTTTGTCCCCTACTAAAAGATCTCCATATCTGAGTATTGTGGAGGCGAGGCAAAAATATGGCGGTGTGGCCAAAAATCCATTCTGTATGGTCTCTGACTTCCTAAAAAGCTTGATCAAAGATGTTCTGCCACCTGGGATTCTCTGCTTATTCAGCCTCACTTCCTTCCTCAAGTAATAAAAATGCTTAGAGCATTGTTACTACGTCTGTCTACATGGCTTCTGGAGTCCACAAGACTTCTGAGACCTAGGCGTCTGAAGGCAAAGCTGATAGATACAAGGTGCAAGCCTAGCTGCTCCAAGTTAAATGTGGCTAGGAAAGGAGCATACCCATTTCTACTGGCATCAAAACACATTGTGAGTTGCCAAAGAATCTTCAAGAAAGAAATATTAAGTAATACTGCACCTCTGACATTGACATGAGTTTATTATTCTTCCGTGCAAGCACACCCTAATCCAAGTCTTATGCTATTCCAGTCTAGGCCTACCCTAAAACAACCAATTATGCCGAATGTGGTGGTGGAAACTGCAAGGAGTATCCAGCCCCAGAGACATTTCATTGGCCCACTAGCATGGGTATTATTTCCACATTTTAAGTTGGTTTTCGAAAAGTGTGCATCACTTCTTTGGGGATTATTTCTCTTTCATATTTCACGTATAAAAGAGCTCCTGCCCCTTTAATTTGTCACTTGCACATTGATAGTGCCATCCGAAAGTCTTTACTGAAAAAAAACTGCTGTCATTTATTCCTCAAGAATGAGAGGGCTTACTCTCAATTCCTGGCAAAACAAACAACTGTGATATTCTTCCTCAGTTCACTGTCATGCCTGATGTCATCATCATAAAAACTGAGGTCAAAAGGAAAATGAAACTTATTCTCTTAATTAGCACTAACATTTTAGTGTGTTCTCCAAAGTCAAAAAACTTACATCTAGGTTGTTTGACTTGGGCAATCTTATCATAAGCCTCAATATTCCTCAGTTCCTTGGGTCAATCATTGTACCTGTCTCACCAGGTTAAGGTCAAGAATAAGTAAACAGGGCAGGTAACAAGCACAGTAGAGTATCCAGCATACAGTGTTCAATATAAATAAGTCCAGCAAATGTCAGCTTCTAGCATCTTTTTCTGCTGGCGATTTTAACTGCCTCTCTGTTAGTCCCACTTGCCCTAGACAGCCCCTTTGATTCAACAGTCCTTAGTTATCTCTACCCAGGTCCCTTCTAATTATCTGTATCAATTAGCTGGTGCTGCGAGAGAGAGATCTAATGACCAGGACCTCATCCTAGACAGAACTGAATTAATAATACAATCCATAATCATCAATAGCCTTTGAGTTCCAAACAAATACAGTATCTCTACTTTTAACTCTTTGGTACAGTCTCTATGATTTGGTTTAAATTTAACTTTAATTATAAGGGTACTTCAAAAAGTTCATGAAAAAATATAATTAAAAGATATTCTGAATCTTTTCATGAACTTTTTGAAGTACCTTTGTAGTTTTAAAATGACAGCCACGTTGTTCTGTACATGAGTGCACCATTTAGGTTTCTGGCTGACCAGAACAGGAATGCATTGGGAGGAGAGTAGCTGGCTCTCAGAGTTTAGGAAAGACTGAAGAACTCATTTATGAAGAGGCAGAAGCATGGGTAGGTGGGGGTGTAGATATGAGGCATTCATTGATAATCACATCACAGCCCCTGCACAGAAACAAATGAGTGCCAGCTGTTGCTGTCATCTTTGCATAGCTCTGTCCTTAAGTCAAATTCGCAGGAAAGGTTTTTCCTGGCGGGGTTGGGCATGTAGCCTGAGCTTGGCCAGTCAAATACTTCTATCCAAGACTTTAACTCTGGAGCAAGTTTATTCATTCATTCATTCATTCATTCATTCATTCATTCACTCAACAAATATTTATTGAGCATGTATACCTTCTAGGAGCTAAAGATATAACAGTGGAAAATAAAACCTGCCCTCCTGGAATTTATATTCTAGTAGTATGAAAGAACAAATTTTTAAAATGTATACATTTGTCAGGTGGTGATAAGTTCTACTTAGAAAAATAAAACTGGATGAGGGAATATGGAATGTAGCAATGCAGACGGCCATGTTATTTTATGCAGGATGGGCAAGGAAGGCCTGTAACAAAGTACCCATTTGAGCAGAGACCTGAAAGAAGCAAATGCATGAGCCATGTGGATATTTCGAGCAGTTCTGTCCAATAGAAACATAATATGAGCCACATAGGTAATTTTTAACTTTCTAGTAGCCACATCAAAAAAGGAAAAAAATGGGTGAAATGAATTTTAATATTTTATCGTACCTGACATGTCCAAAAGGTTTTCATTTCAACATATAATCAATATAAAAAAAATTAATGAGAGATTTACATTCTTTTTTTTGTAATAAGTCTTCCAAATATTGTGTGTATTTCACACTGACAGTGCATCTCAACTCAAGGCCTTAATAGCCACATGTGGCTCCCAGCTACCACATTGGGCAGCACAGGTCCAGGAGGTGAGATTCCTCCCAAGAGGCTACAGCAAATGTCAAGGCCCTGAGAGAGTATGTCTGACATGTCTGCAGAAGAGCACAAAGGCCATAGTAGCTAATGTAACATGACCAAAGAGGAGGGTGGTGAGGCAGGAGGTCAGACCACGTAGAGGCAGCCCAATCATGCAGGGTGCAGTGGGCCCTTGCAAGGACTTCCACTGTTACTCTGAATGAAGATGGAAGCCACAAGGGATGGGATAGCTTCATGGGCCTGGGACTTGTATGGCTGCACAGAGCCCCGTGCTTAGTTTAATGCTCTACTGTTACCACCCTGGAATTCTCAATTTTTGGACAAGGGGCTCCACATTTTCATTTTGCACTGGTCCCCACAAATTATGTGGTTGTGACTGGAGAGTTTCATTCAGAAAGTGACATGAATTTTTCTATGTTTTAAAAGAATTAGTCCTGCTTCTGTGTTAAGAACAGGCTGTAGGAAACATAAGGGTAGAAGTAGGAAAAACGGCTAGGATGCTGTTGATTGAAGCCAGGTGAGAGATGATGATGGCAAGTGACATCAAGAGGAGGAACCAGTTAGTTCCATTTGCCTGCAGCTGCAGCATGGTGCCTGTCAACTTGCCTGTCTATGGCAGCATCCTGACCAGCCAGCTCCTGCTGCCCACACCACTGATTTCTGCCCTGTTTCCATGCTGGTTGCCTGTTAATCTGAAAGCCCTATATCTTTCCAGCATATTCTATTCTTCATAAAAAAGCAGGCATTAGTTTCTCTTCTTGCCTACCCTTTTTCTAAGTGATAGCAAGATACTCTATAGTCCCACCCAAACTGCCCACAATAGCAAATGGGAATTGTCCAAAAGAAAATTGAGGTGCTGTCACAAAATCAGGTTCTTCTATAATTGAGAAAATGAGCTGCTGAATGAAGGAAGGAAAGAACAGTCTAGGTCAAGCAGTTTCTGGGTTAGGTCACTCTGGCTGGAATTTATTATACATTAACTCCATTGATTCCAATTAAGAAGTAGGTATAAAACATTACCCCTGCCCCCCAAAAATCTGCATGGGTTTGGAAGGATAGGGTCTACTAAAATTTATGTGAATACAAAATACATCTACAATACATTTAAGACTCACAAATACACTGCTAACTGTCATAAAGGAAAAAGGAAAAGTTAACCAACTTTTTGGACTTTTTCTTATTTTATATTTATATTTAAGTTTCTATAACTACCTCTATGTTTAAGCTGACAAATGAAAAAAAAATTCATCACTATTTAATTTTTAGGTAATCAAATAGAAAATTCAACAGGTCATGCTAAAAATGATATGATACAACTGCCAGCAAGTTAAATACCAGTAAGTAAAAAATTTATACTTCCTAGCCTATAATTCTTAAAAAATAATTTATTTTCCATGTGCTCAAACTTTTTCTAAAATGACAAAACATGGATGAAACCAACTCCCAAGCTGAAGGGCTTATGTCACCTACTCACCTTTTTCTGAAGAACATTGATTTTTCTTTCCTTCACTTCTAACATATCTTTCATGTCACGAATCTCTCCAGCCAGTGTCCCCTTCTCTTCTGTAAGGTCCTGCAGCTGTTTTGTTTTTTTATTGAGAAAAGATTCTTTCTCTTCTAGTCGTAATCTTAGTGCATCTACCTGAAATCAGGAAAAAGAAAGAAAGTTGTGGTTTTATGAAGAGGACACCAATAACCATCGCTGGTGCCCTTGGAGGACGTGGGGCAGCCATATGCCTCCGAAGCACAGCATGATCAAACCACTACTCAAGAGCACCTCCATGGCAGGCCTTTAAACAACCTGTATCTACCTTAAAGCCTTGTTGTATGTGTCTCTGAACAGTGATGCATTTTTTTAAAAAAGAGAAGGTTTCTATGAAATAAGAAATTATGAAACAGTAGTATGTTTCCATGTTTGTTTCCCTGCTTATGGGAAACAACATGTTTATTTAAGCTGGAAACAAAGCACACTAATACTCTATGTCTCTGAAAGCCTACAAAGGGTAAAACACTTCTCGCACTTTGCAGCATCCTCGAGGAACATAGAGAACACAATAAGCCATGCACAGACATCTGGAAGAACAAGATTGACACATAGAGAAACACTCCTAAATTAGAAAAATATATGTTGCCATGAGGAAGTTAATGCTGCTGGAAGAAGAAACTAATACAGAAATGTAACACCCATTCTCCAGCTTTATGAAAGAGTGCTTTCCAAATTCTTTAAAAAAAAAAAAAAAGACAAAGCATACAAAACAAATCCTATTTCTATCGCAGTTGAAAAATTAGAAAATTAAAATTCCTGCTTTTCAAATGTCATTAATAAAAGGAGAACATATAAGCTTTATTTTTTTTTAATTTAACATTCTGAAGACCATGTGTTAAGAAAGTTGTGTTTCTAAACTAAGACTAGGTCATAGAAAAATGAGACAATCAATCCAAAGAATATGAAGACCACCAAAAGACCATTTTAAAGTCAATCATCTAAAGTCTTTTTAAATTCTACTTTATTGATCTACCATATTTTCAACCTTGTTTATAAATGCACATTAATCTAGTTTAAAAACTAACTGTGACAAACATTATATTTGAAGTTATTGTCCTTAATTATTGTCAATAATAGTCTATGAGATTTCCAAGGAAACTGTTTTCAGCTGAACAATGACATTTAATACATTACTCCCAAGATATTTATTTTTATTGGGCGTAAAAAAAAGATTAAAACCCTTTGCTGAATTGAGGTGCTACCATTTCAGCAGATACCCCTGCCGACAAGGGATTAATATCCATGGAACTCAAGCAATTACACATTAAAAAAACAAATAATCCAATTAAAAAATGGGCAAAGGAGCTCAATAGACATTTCTCAAAGGAAGATATACAAATGGCCAACAGGTACATGAAAAAAAAGCTCAGCATCACTAGCCATCAGTGAAATGCAAATTAAAACCACATTGAGATATCATCTCACTCCAGTTAGACTGGCTATAATCAAAAAAATGGTGAATAACAAATGCTGGCGAGGGTGTGGAGAGAAAGGAACACTCCTGCACTGTCAGTGAGACTGTAAATTAGTACAACAACTATGGAAAAGAGTATGGAAGTTTCTCAGACAACTACAGATAGATCTTCCATACGATCCAGGAATCCAACTTCTGGGTATAAACCCAGAAGAATGGAAATCATCATGTCAAAGGGATATCTGCACTCCCGTGTTCATCACAGCTCTGTTTATGACAGCCAAGACACAGAACCAACCTAAATGTCCATTGATGGATGATTGGGTAAGGAAACTGTGGTGTATATACACCATGGAATACTACTCTGCCATAAAAAAGAATGAAATTCTCCCATTTGCAACAACATGGATGAGCTTGGAGAAACTCATGTTGAGTGAGATAAGCAAAGCACAGAGGGAGATATATACTGCATGTACCCACTCACAAGTGGTAGGTAGCTAAGAGAGAAAGAAGGAAGGAAAGAAAGACCACAGTGTCGTGTTGGACTTGCAGCGAGAGAGAGCATACCTAGGGATACAAAGTGGAGTGGGGGAAAAGAGGGATGGGAAGGGAAGATGGGGGTAATTGGGTGGGGGATACAGGGTACAATCACAATTTATGATAATGGGCATGCTGCCAGTATGGATCTGGCCTTCACATCTTGGGCACAAGGATTGACAATCAGCTTTGTATCTTATGAATATTCATAACCAATAAAAAAAAGAAAAGTAACTTCTGGATTGTTATTAAGGAAGACATTATCTTAAAACCTTATACACAGAAACCCAATAATACAAATGGAACCAATTGCTCACATTCACATAATTCTTAACAATCAATTTGAATAAATGGCCACAATAAATTTTCTCCCTGATCCCCCTTCCAAAAAAAAAAATAAAAAAAAATCAGTGTAATGGCTGCCTAGAGTGGGACTGATTGCAAAGGACCAGGAGGGAATTTTTTGTTCTCTAAACTGACCAGGAGAGTGGTTATATGGCATACAGATTGTCAAAACTCATTGAACTGTACGGTTTAATTCTTTATACTTCAATATATGGTTATAATTTGTATTTTAATAATGTTGAAAAATATATGATTATGGGCCTACCCCGTGGCTCACTCAGGAGAGTGCGGCGCTGGGAGCGCCGAGGCTGTGAGTTCGGATTCTATATAGGGATGGCCGGTGCGCTCACTGGCTGGGCGCAGTGCAGGCAACACCAAGCCAAGGGTTATGATCCCCTTACCGGTCACCAAAAAAAAAAAAAGAAAGAAAGAAAAATATATGATTATGTAACTAAGGATTAACAAACATCTTGTGACAATCTCTTTCATGAAAGAGAGAGACCAAAACAAAACAAAAAAAACAGCCTAACAACTAAATTGCCATATAACCCTATTAGAATGAAGAGGGGAGGGTGGGATAGGGTTCACATGGGTGATGAAAGAGTTTAATCCTCACCCGCAATACCAGGAAGTCAATAGATAGTAGCTACATCAACAATCAGGAAGCAGAGATACAAACATATTCTTTAGAGATATTCAGGCAAAAAGAGTTAAAGGAGGTTGTCTTAAGGAAGCAAAAATGGGATGGGGGAAAAGGGGGTTCCTGCACTTTAAAATAAATCTTGTTGAACATTTTTGCTTCTTTATACTACAGGCAAGTAAAATGAGGATGAAAAGAAAAAAAAGACAAAAGAAATTTAAAACAAAAAGAATGCGAGAATACCATAATAAGCCAATAGGAACAATGGAAAGAGGACACGTAATCCATCTGTGAGGATCAGGACAAATAATTCTCGTTCCCCTGACCCAGCCTTCCAACCTCAGTCACTCCATCTGTAAAACAAAGAGCCAGGAAGAGATAGTCTCTAAGTTCCTGACATTTTATTATTTTAAAGGAAGGAATGAAAATTTGGCAGAATATATCAGGGAAGGATGACGACATTAGAGATAAAGAAAAGTTATTGAAGTAGAATACCATTTTCTTACTCCTTACCAAGAAAGAGGTGCCAAAGTTATGTTTCTAAAGGTCAAAGGTGATGAGGATGTGGGTGAGGAGAGTTTTTTCGAGTTTCTAGCTGGGAGAGGAGGAGGAAGCTGGCAGGTCCCAGTAGAGGCAGTGGTGATGACAGGTGTTTGGAGCCCACAAGGCACAGCGGCCCTGACCACATGACCAGAAAGGGTGAACATTCCATGACTGGAGAGGGCGAGGACTGCAGATTCCTCAAATACCTGACAGCTGTGCCTCCTCTCACATTATCCCCAGGGAGATATAGGGGCTGGGAAGGTGGAGGAGATACTCAAGTCCTGGGGATCTTCCCTTTCCTGTATGACATTTCACACCAAGTGCACTAAAGCTTAAGCATCCCAGATTCTCAAGTGGCCTATCTTTGCTTAAAGTTATCTTCATGTACCAACCTGGAATAACACCACTACTTTTCTTTGGGTTTTTTTCATATCTGGTAAGAACTTATGGATTTTAGTTTAAGCATAAAGAATGGGCATTTGGTGGGTTCTTGGGAACTGGCAGGACAGGCTGATCACTCCAGATTATAGCAGTGGTTATAAGGGGTTACAATCAATTGTAGATTTTTGCACATGGGCTTACGTGGACTCAGTAAGACTCTGAGAAGAAACCCATGACTGTGGCCCCATTAGTCCCACAGCTGGATGGTCTATATCTGGAGCAAAGGAAATGCCCAATATCCAAACTGTGATATAAATAAATTACAATATGGGAGGTAGTGAGTGGTGCTGGAGAGAGTTTAGAAAAAGAGACTCTGTAACGATGAGAGAGAGAGTCAAGGGCTCTTAAAATTATTTGGCGTTGAGTGAAGAGACAGAGAAAAGTTTTCCATATTCCCAAACGTTTTGACTTTTATGTCTCTACCTGATGTTGGAAAATAACCTAGACTTCAAGGCTTAACATTTGTAGCACCTTCTTGCCATGTGTGATCTATCAGTGCCCTGACGCATCTTCCTGAGTCCAGAAGAGATGAAAAGCAACCCCAGCCATGAGAATATTTCTCCAGGAACAAAACAGAGAGCAAGGATGGTTGTGATCAACGCAGCACTCGTAACATGCAAACTCAACATGGCAGCAGGGACTCTGTGCCAGCCGAAGTCTTCTGTTTCAGAGTTTATTTTTCATGTGCTGGAAAGCATGTACTTAACTTCAAAGGAATTTGGATCATGCCCTTCAATCACCTTCACTCTATCCTTAGACTTTGCACAGTCTCCTAGAATCAAGAAACGAAGTTTGAGGGTCTTTTGAAAAAAAAAAAAAGACAAAACTTTGACCTGTACCGCATCCAATTCTCAACCATTAGCCCAGTTTGCAGTAAGCAAGTATGACATCATTTCTAAAGTCAAATTTGAACTTCCAGATGGAGCAAAACCACAAGCAGGCGCACAGGCCTTCTGGCACACAGAAGTTTAAATACAGGGACGATAAGGTAAGAAAGAATATATTCTGTTAAAAATTAGAATATGTAGTTCCAAACTGGGTATCAATCAGAGGAATTAAAGTTCCCCTCACTAATACTCTGACTTTACTCAATAGTGTACATCATTTAAAAAAGAATCAGAAAAGCCCTGAAGTCTAGATTATAGTCCAACATCAGGTAGAGACATAAAAGTTAAA